AATAGTGAACAATGGAAAGCACAGTTCCCATATGAATGGCCTTCTTTTTTCCCCTAGATGCTGCTTGCTGAGAAAAGAAAAACAACAAAAGAATTAAATTTCTCTCATGTTCCAGAAACGCTGCATGAAAAACTGCATTAATTTGAAGTGCAGAATTCCATGAACTTTTGAATGTGGGCACATTACACTACTATCCACTTTAAATGCCATTCATGATCACTACAAGAGCGACGATTCACTTTAAAAAACAGGAACCAAACACTCATAAAGTTGATTTAAAACAAGGATACTCATTTTCAAAAAACACGTATTTGCTCACCTTTGAAAGACTCTTACTTTCTTGTCTGATTGGATATGTTTGCTCAGAAGATTCACTGACTAGTCCTGAAGCATTATAGTGTGTTGAGTTCTTAGAACGATATTGTGAGCCAGCTACTGGATACGCATTTGCCACAACATCAGGTGGGTAAGAGCAGCTGGAATATTCATGGAGGGCAGGATCTCCCAGACCACTGTGTGATGGACATTGAGAAAGAAATTAAAGTCATCCTAGTGCAAGTCTTCAGCATCTACTTGTTGCCTAGACAAACATATCATTCCTTGGCTAACGAATTTGTTTAACAAGAAAGCTCTATTTCAAAAGAAAACGCTTCCATGTTATTTCACTTAAGTGTTTACTCACTGCTACACATCTCTAAAAATAACACATTTTGTTTCGTGAAAACATGCAGTTGAGCAAATATCTTAAAGTACAGAAGTTATCAATTTCCAAGTTTCGAAGCTAGTCTGCTTTGAGGTTATAGTTCTCATGTCTGTTTCAGGGTACCAAGATTCTTCATATTTATTTTCAGTAGGCTTTTTCTTGTGAAACAAACCAAAGGCACAGTGTAACGACAGGACATGAGTCACACAGTTGACTGCAAAAATACAAACGTCAAAACCTATCTTAAAATGCCATAATAACTAAGTAGGAGTATACCACTTTATGGAGTACAAAACACGTTTGAAATATGACGTAGACTTGTAAGATAATAATTAACCGACCTGCATTTAACCATAGCAATTTACGAAAACACAACATCTGGGGCATGCCTCTTCCCTTCAAATGTATGCTCAAAAGCTCCCTTTCACTTTCCATCCACACTTAGTCCAGAAAATATATACTGAGTCCAGATTTGATTAGGGAGAATGGAAATTTCCAAGCTTAAGAAAGCTGCATTTAGTTTTTAAAGCTGTTCACTATGAAGTGGCCAGCCTTGGAATTCTGGGTAGATAATGACAGAGAAACCTTCCCATCAAAACAGAAGACTTCAGATAACACATTTCATACTGACCGTTGCGCAATTCTGATAGACTGTAGTCAAAACAATGCTTATAATCAGTTTATACAGAGAATAAATGTTAAATAAGACTCAAAAAATTAATGTCCCAGCTCCAACAAGGCAAAACATTCATCAGAAAATTGGTGCTGGTTTTTTGTTGTTTTTTTTAATATGAACTGATTTAATGCTAATGCTGTGGTTTTCCCCTAATGCATACATCAGGCCATAACTCACCTCAACATTATATCTATATTACAAATGAAAATAAGTTGAAAATACTGACATTTCCTGTAGGATAAAATGAAGGCCTACAATGACCATGTTTAATAAGGCTGTACTTGTAAGGACACACCAATAACTTTGTAGTAATTGGATAATTAATCCAATGCTTGGGGTCCTGAGAAGCAATGAGGGAACCCTGTAACACCATCAGATTCTTACAAGACTCGATTATTTCCCACCCTACTATGTAGCCTTTTTTCCAGTTTGCTCTGGATTTAAAAATACTTTTTAAAGTCTATGTCTTTTCTTAGGCCCTAATTGAAAAAAAAAAAAAAAACAACAAAACAAAACCAAAAAACCAAACCAAACAAAAAACCCCAAGACTTTTAGAAACCCATAGCACTCTTACTAAAACTGCCTTTCTGGGGATGCATAGGTCGTGGAGAGGAGATCCAAGGAAGGCCCCATATATTAAATGCTTTACAGCACGAGAAGCTTTCTTGAAGACTCCTCCTCTTCCTTTTATACAACTATATCTAGCCCAGCTCGGTCATAACGCAACCCTTCTTTCACCCAAGGACTGGATTCAGCTCCTTCCAAAGCACACACAAGCCACATCAATCACTGGAGACCACCACATCCTCCTTAATGCCCTGTAACCACACAGGCCTGTGGGAGTGAGATACCAGACACATGCCCAAAGAACACTGATGTAAAAACCTAAATCATGAAGACAATGCAGAAGCACTTCCACAGTTAGACTATTAACGTATCGGAGCCCTGACTTCCGATGAGTATTCAAAGTCCAAAACCAGAAGGTTAAAATCCCCCAAGAAATAAGATTCAGAAAATATACATACTTATCCAAAGATGGTTCCTGAACAAATGGGTAGCATGTAGTTAAGTACCTAGGAAAGACACATGCTTCTGAGGGTTCTGACCATGCCACAGTTACCGCCGCATGTTTTGGAACAAATGGTTTGACCTCTGCTGACAACTTGATGCCCTGAGAAACAAAACGGGTTTTGGCTACATGCATTTGGAGATTAATGTTATAAGTGAAAAATACTCAGTCTTGTGACCTTAAGTGTCATTGGAAAGTGTTAGTTTGCTCTCTTCTAACAAAACATGCAAAACAATAAACTCACCCAAAAAGAAATGGAGGAAGAGGGTGAAAAAACCCCCAAGGAATTCTAAAGAAAAATGGGACCACTCTGAAAAGTTATTTAATACCCTCACTTATCATGAAACACTCACACAGGTCAGTTACATAAAGGACAGAAGCTTGCTTAAGATAAGATGTAGTAAATGCAAATATGCAAATTCTTACTTCATATTTGAACAGTATAAGCTAAAATTCATAAATATACTCGCATTACTGCTAATCAAACTCTGGATGTAACAATCATGTCTTAGTGCACATCTGTATTTTAAGGCAGTCTGCCTAAAATGAACAGTTTATTACACAGCCTTCTTGTTTCTGGCACAACAAGGATTTATTAAGGCAAGTCTTCCATTTGTTCTGAATTACCATCGAGCTAAACTGGGTATGTATATGTGGAAGGACAATGACATGACACTCGAGGTATTGACTACCGTGTCATCCAAACACGCAGGACGCAGCTGTGACTGCAGGCTGATGTCTAAGACCTCCGAGCCTGACCGGTGTGCACAACGCCGCTGTCACCGGTGAGAGCCTGGGCACCCATCTTTAGAGCGACTGGGATGGCTACCTGCCCTCGCAGCACTCCCCAGCCCGAATAAGAAGAGCTTTCCCCACTTAAACTCACTGGAAGTCACGCCTGGGGTTCCCCATCCCAAGCGGTGGGAAGCGACCCCTCCCCCCGGCTCTGCCCCTCCAGAAGGACTCTTCTCCCTGTTCTGAACCAAAGGCTGATCCGAGGAGCCGCGGGA